TGTCAAGAAGATTGTACACCATGACCAAGTGGGATTCATCCCACAGATGCAGGGATGTTTCAACGTATGTAAAGCAATAAATGTAATACATCACATTAATGGAGCCAAGGAGAAAAATCATATGATCATCTCAATAGATTCAGAAAAAGCTTTTTGACAAAATCTAGCACCCATTCATGTCTTTATCTCAATCTGATAAAAGCCCTTTATGACAGACCAACAGCCAACATCATACTAATGGACAAAAGCTGAAAACTATCTCTAAAATCAGGAACAAGAGAGGCTGGGGATTTAGCTCAGCGGCATAAGCGCCTGCCTTGCAAGCAGGCAGTCGTGAGTTCGATCCCTGGTACCGATAAAAGACCAAAAAAAAAAAAAAAAAAAAAAAAATCAGGAACAAGACAAGGATGCCCACTGTCTCCACTCTTAGTCAACACAGTCCTGGAAACTTCAGCTGGAGCAATTAGACAAGAGAAAGAGATAAAAGGAATAAAGATAGGAAAGGAAGAAGTTAAACTATCATTATTTGCAGATGACATGATATTCTACGTATAAGACTCCACATAAACTTTGTCAAAAGACTATTATATTTAATAAGCAAATATAGTAATGTAGCTGGATACAAAATCAACACTCAAAAATCAATAGCCTTCTGGTACACGAATAACAAACTCACTGAGGCAGAAATCAGAGAAACATCTTTCACAATAGCATCCACAAAAAAGAAATACTTAGCAATCAATGTAACAAAGGATGTATAAGACCTCTATATTGAAAACTACAGTACTCTGAAAAAGGATATTGAAGAAGATATTAGAAAATGGAGAGATATCCCATGCTCTTGGGTAAGAATAACCAATATAGTGATAATGGCCATACTTCCAAAACTGTCACACAGTTTTGCAATCCCAATCAAAATTCCAATAGCATATCTCACAGAATTAGAGAAAACAATTCTAAAACTTATCTGGAACCAGAAAAGACTTAAAGTAAAGGCAATCCTAGGCAACAAAGTCAAGATGGGGCATCACAGTCCCTGACTTCAAATTGTACTATAAAGCTACTGTGATAAAACCAGCATAGTACTGGCAAAAAAAAACAGACCTGTAGATCAATGGAACAGATTACAAGATGCAAAAACAACTCAGACACACTAAGCCACCTTATCTTTGACAAAATTGCCAAACACATTCACTGAAGAAAGCTACAAAAGTGCTAGAAAAACTGTTTCTACACATGCCAAAGATTAAAAGTGGACCCATATCTTTCACCATGTACTAAGCTAAAATCAGAATGGATCAAAGTTCTTAATATTAAAACAGAAACAAATCTGCTGGAAGATAAGAGTAGGTAAAACTCTTGAAGACATTGGTGTAGGCAAATATTTTATAAACAAAATCCAAATTGCACAGAACTATCACAAAAAATCACCAACTCGATCTCACCCTATTAAAAAGTTTTTGTACAGGGGCTGGGGGTTTAGCTCAGCGGCATAAGCACCTGCCTTGCAAGCAGGCGGTCGTGAGTTCGATCCCCGGTACCGATAAAAATGAAAAAGACAAAAAAAAAAAAAAAAAAAAAAGTTTTTGTACAGCAAGAGAAACCACCAACAGAGTAAAGAGACAATCCACAACATGGGAGAAAATGTTTACCAGCTGTACCTCAAACAAAAGATTATTATCAAGAACATATGCAAAACTCAAAAAAAAAAAAAAATCAGTCCTCCTAGATTCAAAGACCCAATCCAAAAATAGACATCAGATGAAGAAATATGAACAGCAAATAAATATGTGAAAAAAAGTTCAACATGTTGGCCAGGGATTTGGCTCAGTGGCATAAGTGCCTGCATGGCAGGCATGAGGTCATGAGTTTGATCCCCAGTACCAAAAAATAAAATAAAAAATAGAAAATGTTCTATATCACTGGTCTTTGGAGAGATGTGAATTTTAAAAACCACTGAGATTTCACCTCACCCTGGAAAGAATGGCTATAATCAAGAAACCAGGGCTGGGGATTTAGCTTAGTAGCATAAGCTCCTGCCTTGCAAGCGCCGGGTCATGAGTTCAATCCCTGGTACCGATAAAAAAAAAAGTTCAAGAAATCAACCAATAACAAATGCTAGAGGGCCTGTGCAGAAATAGGAACCCTTCTCCACGGTTGATAACAATATAGACTGATGCAACCACTGTGCAAATCAAGGTGGAGATTCCTCAAAAAACTAGTATTGGAGGTCCCATTTGACCCAGCTATTTGCCGTCTCAGTATCTTCTCAAAAGAATTAAAAACATCATACCACAGCAATATATGTGCACCCATATTCACGGTAGCACAATTTGTAATAGCTAAACCTTGAAAACAACCTAAATGCCCATCAACTGAGGAATGGATAAAAAAGATGTGGTACTTTCATACAATGGAAATAGTAAGTCATAAAGGATAGACTGGAGACTTTTATAGGTAAACAGATGCAATTTGAGACCATACTCAAAAGTGAAATAAATCAGACACATATGTTAAACATTGTGTTGTCTTACTAGTGTGAGAAGCTAAAAGAAATAACATTATGTGTATGAGTGTATATATACAGATATATAAAAAGGACAGTCTGATTTCTCTGAGTTCAATGAAGAGAAAGATCTGTGCAGGTATTGTCTGAACAACTGAATGCAGATATCTTGCGCTCTGAGTGAATAATTGGAGGATGACAATATGCAATGTAATTACTAGTGTTGCTCCCTAATTGACATCTTTTGAAATTTTGTTTTCCTTTTTTTTTTTTTTTTTTGTTTTACCTTTTTAAAATAAAATGGATTTAAAAAAAAAGAAAAAATGAAAATAGCCTGTGGTTCAAGGGTGAAACAGCAGGATCACTTGAATCCCAGAGTTTGAAACCAACCTGAGAAACATGGCAAGACCCGGTCTTATAATGAAGTAACATAACATAACGATCATAGGAATAAAAAAATAATTGCTTTGCAACAAGACAGAATTACTATGGATTACTACAGAAAAAATTCCACGAGTATACATCCAAGCAAACTGAAAGTACTTCACAGTACCACTATTTACCATAGATAATACCAATGAGGTTGACCAATAAGTAAAAGGGTAAAATAAGTGAAAGGGTAAATAAAATAAGGCATGTATATACATACAATCAAATATTGCGCAGTGCTACACTAATAAAAAGTCAAGGGTTGGGGCTGGGGATTTAGCTCAGCGGCATAAGCGCCTGCCTTGCAAGCAGGCAGTCGGGAGTTCGATCCCCGGTACCGATAAAAAGGAAAAAGACCAAAAAAAAAAAAAAAAAAAAAAGTCAAGGGCCACTGATATAGCTCAGTATCACAGCACCTGCCTGGCAAGTGCAAGGTCCTGAGTTTGAGTCCTGATACCAAAAGCAAATAAATAAAAAATACACAATATAGTTGAACCTTGACTCACAATATTTAATGAGGTAAACCAGTTTAAAAAGACAAACACTGGCTGGGGATGTAGCTCAGCATCATAGCACCTGCCTGGCAAGCGTAAGGTCATGAGTTTGATTCCCATAAGAAAAAAAATAAAGACAAACACTATGATTCTACTTATTTGAAGTACCTACAGTAGTAACCATTCATAGGAACACAAAATAGAACGGTGGTAGCCAGAGGTTGGGGAAAGCTGAAAGTACTAAAGACAACCCAGTGCCTGTGCAGTGAGACACATCCCCATCCGTTTTCAAGTTCTTAATGGCTAAAGAATACTTTTTTTTTTAAATCGGTACCACGGATCGAACTCACGACTGCCTGCTTGCAAGGCAGGTACTTATGCTGCTGAGCTAAATCCCCAACCCCAAGAATACATATTTTAAGCCAGGTCTGTTGGCACCTACCTGTAATCTCAGCGCTCAGCAGGCTGAGGCAGGAAGATCGCCATGAATTCAAGGCTAGGCTACACTGTATAGTGAGACTCTATCTCCAAACAAAAAAACTATATAGTGACACCCTATCTCCAACAAACAAACTCCAAAACTAAAACAAAACAAAATAGAACAAAAAAACTATAAAAAAAGAATCTGTGCTTTAAGAAAATATTCTAGAGATTGATTATAAATAATACGATAATACTTTAACACTACTAAACTTCACATTTAGAGTCGGGGATACAGCATAGAGGCACAGCACCGCCTGGCAAGTGCAAGGTCATGAGTTCAATTCCCAGTACAAAAAAAAAAAAAAAAAAAATCCCAAAAAACTACACACTTTAAAATAATGAAAATGTGGGGGCTGGGGATTTAGCTCAGCGGCAAAAGCGCCTGCCTTGAAAGCAGGCAGTCGTGAGTTCGATCCCCGGTACCGATAAAAAAGGAAAAAGACAAAAAAAAAAAAAAAAAAAAAACCAAATAATGAAAATGTTAGATTTTATATCGTGCATTTTTTGGGTTTTGATAGAAGAGGTTGAACCCAGGCCCCATGCACAATAGAATGCATTCCACACTGAGCTACACCTAGCCCTTATGCTTTTCTACCCTATGCATTTTTAAACATAATTAAAACAAAACAAAACAAAACATGACACCAAAATTGAAGAAAATTCCCAGGAAGCAAAACAAATATTAAAGAGAAACAACAACAACAAAATAACAAAATGTTATATACATGTACCAACTCATGATTAATATAATCATTATACACTGCAAACATACATTAATAAAGCTTTAAAACTTCAGGAAAAAATACAGGATTCAAATAGAAAATCTCTTGTCTGAGTATCAGAAGTTTGAGTAAAGATGAAACAGGAAAAATGGAAGAGTACTAAAGGTTTGGCACAGTGGGAGAGTACCTGTTTAGCATGTGGGAAGGTTTGAGTTTGATCTCTAGCACTAAAAAAAGAAAAATAACAAAGCAAGAAGGAAAAACAATTTTTAAAAACTGAGTTTCTGTCAGTCATGGTGGTTCATTCCTATAATTCTGTTACTCAGGAGGTTGAGGCAAGAGGACTGTCAATAGTTTCAGGTCAACCTGGGCTACATAGTGAGGTCAGAGCCAATCTGGAATACACAGCAGGAATCTGTTTCAAAAAACCAAAAAATAAATAAAATTTTTAAAAATTACATTATAGCCAGGTATAAGCGTACACACCTTTCTTTGGTTGGTTTGGTTTTTGTTTTTCAATTTTTTGAGGTAGGGTCTCACCCTATAGCCCAGGCTATCCTCCATCTTGTGGGGATTCTCCTGCCTCAGTCTCCTGAGTGTTGGGCTCAAACTTATATCCTCCAACCTCAGCCTCCCTAAAGTGCTAGGTTTATAGGTGAGTGCCACCATGCTCAGCTCAGAATAAATATATTTTCAAACTCATATGATATTTAAAAATGGATTTCCTAGCCAGGCTCAGTGACCAATCTCTGCACTCTGGGAGACTAAGGCAAGAGGATCACAAATTCAAGGCCAGACTGGATAACTAAGTGACACCGTATCTCAAAACTAAGTACTGAAAAATGACTATGGACTGGGCATAGTGGCACAAACATGTAATCCCAGCGTTTAGGAGCCAGGAGCCAGGCATGTCTGCAATCTCAGCATGTAGGAAGTTGAGGCAGGAGGACAGCTGTGAGTTCAAGACCAGCCTAGCTATATGCAATGAATCAAGGCCAGCCTAAACTACAAACCAAGACTGTTTCAAAACAACAACAACAACAAAAAAAACACAAGACCAAAACAAAACAAAACAAAAAAAATTAGAAAGATCTAGGAATATAGCATGCTGTGAAAGGCCTTAGGGCTCAATCCCTAGCACTACTTAAAAAAAACAAAACAACAACAACAACAAAAAATTCTTAAGCATCAGGGTGGTATTATCAGTAGATGCTGGGAACATTTAGGAGGTGGAAGATATAGGGAGGCCCTTAAGTCTGGTGACATGATCATCATAGAAGAGAAACAGTTCATGCCAGGCAGAAGGTAGCAAAACAAACAAGGGATCTTAACTGCTGCTTTCTGCATCTTTTAAAGTCTAACTATGCTACTGGGATTAGGGTGATATCAAACCAACCAGTGAACTGATTTAATCCTTAATCCTAGCACTGCACCATGAGTCAATCACACACTCCTGATTCAGCTCTGAAAATGCCCCACGTATGACTGCTCGAGGGGACATATAAACAAAAGCAACGGTAGGACCGAAAAGAGATCATGAGACTTTTATCTTTACACACTAACTGGCTCAGATATTCTGTTATGGTATGTGATGCTGGACAAAGACAATATACCTTTTTTATAAAAATGTTAAAGAAACCTCTGGTAGAGGATAAGGCAGAAGGACTGCTGTAAGCTTCAGGCGAGCCTGGGCTACGCAGTAAATTCAACCTCAACCGAAACTGCATAGTGAGATGCTATCTCAGAAAACCAAACCAAACCAACACAAAACAAAAAAACCATAATTTTTAGAAAGCAACATAATTATTTTTTACTTATGAGATGAGGTCTCAATCATGATATCCAGGCTGGCCTCAAACTATCTTCTAACCTCAATCATCCAAACTGGAGGGAAAACAGGCACATATCACTATGCTCAGCTAAGTAATTTTTTGAGTTTCTTTTTTTTTTTTTTTGGTCTTTTGACAGAGTCTTTGTAATTCAGCCTGTAATTCAGGCTGGCCTTGAACTCCCCACCTAGCCCAGGCTGGCCTCCACTTGTGGCAATCCTCCTGCTTCACCTTCTCACATGCTAGGATTACAGATGCGCATCACCACATCCATCTGAAACAATTTTTTAAAAATGATAGTACTTTTATTACACAGTAAATGTGATTTAAAAAATATAGATAGAAAATAACGTCTTTAAATCAACCTATTATCATTAGTGCATGTATTGGACTGTTGTTGTATTGTATTGCTGGGTTTAAAAAAAAAAAAACATTTAAGCCAGGTGTGGTGGCTCACACCTGTAATCCCAGTACTCGGGAGGCTGAGGCAGGAGGATTGTAGTGAGTTCGAGACCAGCCTGGGCTACAAGGTGAGCTCAAGGCCATCCTGAACTAAATAAATAGCGAGACCCTGATTCAAAAAGACAAAAAAAAAAATTTAGGGGCCAGGGATTTAGCTCAGTGACATAGACACCTGCCTGGCAAGCGCCAGGTCATGAGTTCAATCCCTGGTACCAAAACAAAACAAAAATTTTAATTCCCAAATTTCCTACAATATGCTATATTTTATAATTAAATAAAACAGGGGCTGCATATATGGCTCAGCAGAATAGCACCTCCTTGGTAAGCTCATGGTCATGAGTTCAATTTCAAATACAAAAATAAATAAAAGTTTTTTGTTTTAATGTTAATTCCAAAATAATGTCAGATATCCACAAACTAAAATTTAAAAAGGTCCTAGCACTCAGGAGGCTGAGGCAAGAGGATTGTTTCAAGTTTAAGACCCACCTGGGCTACAAAGTGAGCTCAAGGCCAACCTAAACTACATAGTAAGTCCCTGTCTCAAAAAGACACCTCCCCCCCAAAAATTAATAAAGGGCTTCTTACCTGAATTAGCACTTCTGAGCATGCTGACTAGTGCTGGCATAAGCTGAAACTCAAATGTCCTTTGGCCACCACAGTGACTGCAGGCTGGAACCTCAGAGACTTCTGGAGTAGGGCAGGTCAGATAAAGTGGCTCTCCACCCCAGGAATATCTAGGAAGGGGTAATGAAGAACTCAAGCAGTCACATACATTTAAGACACATCAAGACAATGAGGTTGTCTCTTGCAAACTTACACTTTTGTACAACTATCATGGACAAAACAAGAGTCAGTCAAAGTCCCCAGATGCCAAAAACCTAGTAGCAATTATTTAAACTATAGCAAAATACCCACAGTCTCATCAATGCTTGACTCAGTCTCAATAAAGGACTGAAGTCAATACAGAACTGAATCAAATGAAAGGCACAGCCAAATGCAGCCCCACCTCAAGTGCAGATTAAATGGACTAAGAAATCCACCCTACTGACTTTCAGAAAAGCATGTCTTTTTAGGGAATAAATGTTTATTTCAGGGTCTACTGTTCTGCAACAGTTTCTGGCAAATAACAACAACAAAAAAAGATATGTAAAGGAGGAGGAAAATTTAACTCATGAAAAAAAGTAATAAACCTGGTGTGGTGGCACATTCCTGTAATCCCAGCACTTGGGAGACTGAGGCAAATTTGAGGTCAGCCCAAGCTATATACTAAGTTTAAGGTCAGCCTGATTTATATAGCATGTGTAAGGCACCGTGTTCCACCTTCAACAAAACCACAAACACCAAATAAAAAAGAGTCTGGATAAACATCAATCATATAAAAATTAAACCAAAGAAACCTTATATGGCCATATTAAAATCAGGCAAAATACTCTCCAATGAACAAATACCAGCAGAAATAAAATTGTGTCATAACAGGATAAACTTATCAGCTAAATAGAACAATTCCAAATATGCATCAAAATATCTTAAAACATCATCAAAACTCACAAGGCAGCAGGTGATTTAGCTCAGTGGCACAACCACCTGCCTGACAAGCCCAAGGTTGTGAGTTCAATTCCCAGTATTAAAAAAAAAAAAAATTCACAAGGCATAAATTGACAGAATTAAAAATTTAAAAAAATTATGTTCAGTTACAGGAGTTTCTTGTTTTGGTGGTGTTGAGGATTACATCTAGGGCCTTGTACATGAGGATTTGTGGGTTTTAATATTGCTCTCTTAGTAATTGGTAAACAAAAGGAATCAGTAATAAAACCTGGTGTTCCAACAACTGGATATACAAATGGGAAAAAATTTTACCCACTTATATCACATATAAAAATTCACTCAAAATGGATCACAGACTTAAATATCAATGCTAAAACTAAAAACAACACTTCAAGCCAACACAGGAAAAATTCTGTGGCTAAGTAGGTAGATTTCACAGGAAGAAATGGTATGAACCATTGGGCTGGGGCACAGCTCAGTGGCAGAGTACTTGCCTAGCATGCTTGAGACCAGCTATAAAAATCCCAACACTTGGCTAGGGATGGAGCTCAGTGGTGGAGTGCTTGCCTAATGTACATGATGTCCTGGTTCCACCACCAGTTCTATAAAACACAACCACCAACACCAAAAAAGTAATCCTCCTGTATCAGCCTCCTGAGTAGCAACACTTCTAGCTATTTTCATATTTTTGAGCATTATAAATATATTATCTACTGAAATTTTCAGGGTTTGTTTGTTTTTTGGTATTGGGGATCGAGCTCACGACCTCAAGCTTGTTGCCAGGCAAGTACTTATAGGACTGAGCTAAATTCCCAGTCTGAAATTTTAAGTTTTAAACAAAGTTGAAAAAATAGTTTACAGGGGCCTGGGGATTTAGCTCAGTGGCATAAGCGCCTGCCTTGCAAGCAGGCAGTCATAAGTTCGATCCCTGGTACCAGTAAAAATACAAAAAAAAAAAAAAAAATAGTTTACAGATTTTTTTTTTCTTTTGTCTTTTTGAGATAGGGTCTCTCTATGCAGTTCGGGCTGGCCTTGAGTTCACTCTGTAGCCCAGGCTGGTCTGGAACTCACTACGATCCTCTTGTCTCAGTCTCCCAGGTGCTGGGATTACAGGTGTGAGCCACCACGCCCAGTTCAGAATTTTTAATATTACGCCTTAATAAGAATAAATGTTTGGGGCTGGAGGTTTAGCTCAGCGGCATAAGCTCCTGCCTTGCAAGCAGGCAGTCGTGAGTTCGATCCCCAATACCGATAAAAAGGAAAAAGACAAAAAAAAAAAAAAAAAAAACAAGAATAAATGTTTTACTGAGACAAAATATACATGCTTTATAATCCTTGTGATGGTATTTCTTATTTGTTTTGTTTTAGGCCTGGGTATTGGGCCCAGAGCCTTTGCCCTTAGCTTTACCTCTAGCTATTTATTAAGACAGGGTTTTGATAAAACCCTAAATTGCAACACCTGCGCTCAACCTTGTGATCCTTCTGCCTCAGCTACCCAAGGTGCTGGGATTACAGGGTCTTTTATTATGGCTTTTAAAAATACACTTATGCAAATTGAAAGAGTAGATAAGATCCAAAAGTAAGTATATATTGTAAAATAGGAATAAACTGTTCAAAGGAAAGAGAAACTGGGGTGGGGGAAAGGAGGAAAAAAAGAAATGAGAAGCACAAAAAAATACATATATAAAGTAGTGAAGACAGTTAAGCCCCAGGCATAGTGACTCGCACCTGTAATCCCAATGCTTGGGAGGCTGAGGCAAGAGGATCATCGCAAGTTCCAGACCAGTCTGGGCTACAAAGTGAGCTCAAAGCCAGCCTGAACTGCATAGTGAGACCCTGCCTCAAAGACAAAAAAAAGGGGCTGGAGGTTTAGCTCAGCGGCATAAGCACCTGCCTTGCAAGCAGGCAGTCGTGAGTTCGATCCCTGGTTCCGATAAAAACGAAAAAAAGACCAAAAAAAAAAAGAAAAGAAAGAAAAACTCAGATGCTAGAATTTAACACCATGGAGAAGACCACGACCCAGGAAGAAACTGAGGAAAAAGAAAAAGAAAAAAAGAAAGGAAGGAAGGAAAAATGTGGACGAAAGGCTGGAACCAGACACACTGTCACTGGAGCCCATCCTGCACTGTGCTGGGAGTGCCTTGGAGTCAGGTGACTCAGTGTCGTGCTGAAGTCAGGGTAGCACCGAAATCAGGAATTGGTGAGCCCAAGGCCCTTGGCGGAAGGATGCGGTGCCACGGAGAGTGGAAACAATGTGGAAAGCTGCATTAACTCGTGGTGAGTGCTAGGTATTTGGTCCAGCAGAAGGGGTGACCAGCTGGATGACATATTGGAGTTGGGCAGGATGGACCTGAACCCGGAACCACAGTGGCATCAGGCTGCCTCTGGCCCAAAGAGGACTGATGGGATCTGCTTGGGCTGGGTCACGCCCCTGGTCAGGACCCAATAGCCAGGAGTGAAACTGTCCCGAACCTGTGACGTCAACATGGCACAGACTAATGTGCTGAAGGCACTCGCCAGTTGACTGGCTCAGAGAGAAGGCAGCCCACATCATCCCTGCGTGTACCTCAGATAACAGTAAACTGGAGAAGGCAGCAATCCCCTAGCCAGCACGAGACCTCCACCATATACCTGTCTGAAAGAATCCAGAAACATGACAAGAGAAAGAAACAAGAAAAAGATTCCAGCTGCTGACCCAGGGAAAATAAGTCCAGGAGAGGTCAATACAGAAGAGATCAAGGGCAGCAATCATGCAATATATATCGGCCACAGCATAAAGAAATACCTTTATGACCTCATAGACAAACTTAAAACTGAAATTCTAATTCAAGAGAGGCAAAATATACAAACATTAATAAAAGAAATGCTAAGCCCCTCTCAAGAAGACACAGATGGAAAAATGGAGGAACCCAGAAAAAGAAACCTTTGATGAAGAACATAAACAAAATCTAGAATACATGAAACAGATCCAAAGAGATTACCAGGAAATTAAAAACTCCATTGAAAGCAGGCAAAATGCCTCGACAGAAACTAAAGTTAGACTTTCAAAACTTGAAGATAGATTTACAATGTGTGATCATGAAAGAAAAGATCTCTTAAAAATAATAAGGAATCAGGAAGTGACAATACAAAGGCTAGAAGATGACAAGAGGATCTATAACTTAAGAATATAAAACATGAGCGAAAGCCTGGAGTGGTGGCTCATGCCTGTAATCCCAGCACTCGGGAGGCTGAGGCAGGATCACTGTGAGTTCCAGACCAGCCTGGGCTACAAAGTGAGCTCAAGGTCAGCCTGAACTGCATAGAGAGACCCTGTCTCAAAAAGACAAAGAAAAAAAAAAAAAAAAAAAAAAGAGCAAAGAAGCAGGAGTAAATACAAATGAATTACAAAGGCTATTCACAGAAATAATTAAGGAAAACTTCCCAAGCATAGGAAAAGGAAATAAATGAGGCATACAGAACTACAGCCAGCTACAACCAAAACAGAGCTATACCCAGACATATAATAATCAAGATCCCAGAAAGTCATCACAAGAACAGAATATTAAAAGTGGTCAGAGAAAAGAAACCAATCACCTATAAAGGAAAACCCCTTAAAATCACAACCGACTTCTCGACACAAATTATCAAATCAAGAAGAGCTTGGAGCAAAGTATTCCATGCTCTGAAAGAAAATAACCTCTAACCCAGATTGATGTACCCTGAAAAACTGTCTCTCAAAATTAATGGAGAAACAAGATGCTTCCATGACAAAGAGGAACTGTGGGAGTTCGTGACCATCAATCCAACCCTACAAAAAATATTGAAGGACATTCTAAAGAGAGAGAAAAAAATCACCAGGATTCCAGCAACAGTAGCAGAGAGGCCTCAATGTACAGGCACACAGTGGAATGAAGGAGAAAAGTAAACAACCAACAGCAGATGGCTCTGTTTAGTTTGATTTTATTGTTTCAGTCTGTCTACTCATACTAGATTTGAGAGCACAGACAGCTATCCCCAAAATAGCAGGATATAGCCAGGGGCGAAACTGTCCCGAACCTGTAACTATCCTTAATTTCCTATTAACTTAAACTGAAGCCCTATATTACTCACACTGTCTTACTATGACTGATCTTATTTGAATCTGGTTTGTTAGATCACTGTTTTGTCTTGACTGATTTTATTTGAATTTGGTATGCTAGATAGTATCAAGTCTAAGAGTAGAGGCAACTACTCTGAAGACAAGATGCGATAGGATACCCATTCCGGGTTGATTATTAACTGCTTTTGAAGTCCTATAATATCTCCAATGTTTTATTTTTATTAATAATGCTATGTTGAGGGGCTGGGGATTTAGCTCAGCAGCATAAGCGCCTGCCTTGCAAGCAGGCGGTCGTGAGTTCGATCCCCGGTACCGATAAAAATGAAAAAGACAAAAAAAAAAAAAAAATGCTATGTTGAGTCGGGCATGGTGGCTCACGCCTGTAATCCCAACACTCGGGAGGCTGAGGTGGGAGGATCATTTCAAGTTTGAGACCAGCCTAGGCTACAAAGTGAGCTCAAGGCCAGCCTGAACTGCATAGCGAGACCTGTCTCAAAAAAGACAAAAAAAAAAAGCTATGTAGTACTATGTTCAATTATATTATATCTGATGATATAGACAATTCTATTGAAAATAAGAAGAGACATCATAGTAACTTGTAGATCACCTAGTATTGTGGTTTTATGTCTTTTTTGTTTCATGTTTTTCCAGGAATTTGTTTTGTTGTCTTGTTTTGATTTGTTTTTCCCTCTAATACAGAAAGGATATGGGGCCGGGGGTTTAGCTCAGTGGCATAAGTGCCTGCTTGGCAAACGCGAGGTTCAATCCCTGGCACCAAAAAAAAAGAAAAGATAGGTATACATGTAGAGATTCACACATGTGTAGAACTTCTAAACAGTTTATGAGAATCGATTATATAATGCACCATGTAAAAAATAGATACTCTGAAGAAAAAGAGACAGTAAGATACCCAGTGCTAATTCCATAGCATCATGATATAAAATCTAGCAATACTATTAGTCTCTGTCCAGAGTGATATTAGTCTGTTTTCTTTTTTTTAATTTCAATATACGTAAAGATATGGACAACCATTTCAAAGAGAATGAAAGACACTATGGCAGTCATTGTTGACTTCTCTATTGTCTGGTCTTGAAGACCTAAAATGCCTTCATCATCCTGTTCTGATCAGTTTAGTACTATTTTGTTCGGTATGAATTCACTGTGTGTGAAGATACCGACAACTATTTGGAGGAAAACGAGACAATATGATAGGCAGTGAAGATCCCCAATGGTATTGCTTTGAAATCTGTGTTTCTTAAATTGTTCTCTTATCTGTTTTATTGTTTAATTCTATCCTCTTTAAAATAAAAAAATTAAAAAAGATAACAATATACAATATATTAACCATTGTTACCCCATTGTTTTGTAATTTTTTTCCTCTTTAAAATTTTAAAAAAACTATACACATATATACATACCTAAATACATTTTTTTTTAAAAAGTGAAAGTAATATCTTAAAATCTAAGCAATAATTTTGTCTGGGTTTGGGGAATATTGGACTCTTGGTTTTGTCATTATACTTTTTTCCTATTTTTTTTTTTTTTTCTGAGGCAAGGTCTCTTTATGTAGTTCAGGCTGCCTTGAACTCACTATATAAGGCTGGCTTCAAACTCATGGTGATTCTCCTGCCTCAGCCTTCCAAGCACTGGGATTACAAGTGTGTGGCATCATATCTGGCTCCAGCACCAGTTACTTTTGTAACAATAAATAATGAAGGGACTGGGGATTTAGCTCAGTGGCATCATAAGTACCTGCCCTGCAAGTGCGCAGTCATGAGTTTGATTCTCAATACCAAAAATAATAATAATAATAATAATAATAATGAAAGAAAATGTTGGGCTACCCACTGCGGATCTTCTGTCTCTCTCAGACAGAAGCTTTCTTTCCCTCAGTAAACAACTGCTACTCTTAACCTCCACTGTTCCTAGTATGTGTTCTTCAGTTTTAGAGAGCATGAACTCAGCATATCAGACATCTAGCAGATTTTATTTATTATTTGGAGGTCCTATCTTATGCGTCCCTATACCACTGAGTTTATTCTCTTTCACCTAATTATATTTGTTATTAAATTTGAGAATAGAAAAAAAAATGTTCCTCTTTTACCTTAAAATCTGTGCCTGACAAACAGCAATTCTCTTCATGAATTTGTAAAACATCTGATCTCCACTTTTAATCTTGGTCTTCTCATACTTTTCATCACCATCACTTGAAAAACTTAAAAAAAAAAAAAAAAAAAAAAGCAGAAATCACCAGTAAGTGTGAATATCCAGAGAACTACATAACAGCTGGGGACTTAGCTCAGTGGTGTAAGCACCTGCCAGGCAAACATGAAGTCGTGAGTTTAATCCCCCGTACCCAAAAAAAGGGAAAAGAAATAGAGAATTACAGTATTTAGAAGAGGAAATAAAATGACTTTCTTTTAAAAAGTAAGTTTAAAAATTTAAAGCCAGGTGTGGTGGTGCACCCCTGTAATCACAGAGGCAGCAAAATCACCTTGAGTTCAAGGCCAGCAATAAACTAGGCATTTGGCACACGTCTGTGACCCCAGAACTTGGAAGGCTGAGACAGAAGATCGCCACAGTCTGGGTTATATGGCGAGTTTGAGGTCTGCCTAAACTACATAGGGAGATTCTTTCGCAAAAAAATGAACACACAAAAACAACAACAACATTAGCATGTGTTCAGGTAGTCCCCACTTGGTTGTTTTGTTTTGTTTTAGGACAAGTCTCACTATGTAGCCTAGAATCCATGATCTTCCTACCTTGGTCTCCAAAGTGCTGAGATCACAGGCATGCACCACGATGCCTGGCCAGTCAGGCAATCCCTTTTAACATTATTCTGAAAAAGCCTACAAGTGAGAGAGCCCTGGATAAAGATACTAAGTCATCTCTCCCAATATCCTGTTTTAATTCTATCATTATAACAATAAAAGTGATCATTCTTGCTTTGGTTTATGAAGCCATTTAAGATCTATTCTCTCACCTGACTCCCAAAATTGATAAAATGGAGAAGAGAGATATCATTATCCCTACCATTTTATAGGTGAGAACCAAAGATGTAGAAGGGCCTCAAAGGTCTTGAGCCACCTATAAAGCCTCAGCCAAAAGTCAATAAATAAACAGCATTTTTCTGACTCACCTGTCTCCATCATGAAATTTAAAAACAGAGCCAGGAGGGATAGACAGGCATGGAATTCCAGCTACTCAGGAGGCTAAGGTAGGAGAATTATAGTTCCAGGAAAACCTGGGCAACTTTGTAAGACTCAATCTCAAAATAAAAAATAAAAAAAGGCTGTGGATGTAGCTCCATGTAAGATCCTAGGTTCAAGTTTCAGTACCTCAATCAATCAATCAAGGCAGGCTGGGAATGTAGTTAAGCACTCCCTGGATTCAATCTCTGGTAAAACAAGCAAAAATCATTTAAAGTAGAATATGTGGGACAAAACAGAAAAGGGAACAGAGATGTAGCTCAGTGGCAATGTTTGTCTAATATGTATAAAGCCCTCTTGGATCAATCCCCAGCACTGAATAAAAGAATATTAGAGATACAGCAAATGCATCTTCTGTAAATACTTGGCATCTTTAACTTTCTGCTTATCTTGATTCCTTTTCTTGAGGGCATTTATGTACACAGTCAAGTGTTTTGAAGTTCCCTGAGACTGGCTGACAAGGAGGATGTCTCCTTTTCTTAGCCAACAAGAGTGAATCAAAGGGTCTTACCACAGGAATTCTCCCCGGAAGATTTCCCAGGCAAAACCAAAGGGTACCTACTGTGGGGGGCTTCCTGACCAAGTCATCTTTCAGCCTCAGCACACATGCTCTCACCTATGAGAAATCAACTGGCCCATATCAACTCCTTCTCTTTGTTGGTAGTCCTTTAGAAGGCAATAGGCATGATCTAGACTAGCGAAGTCTCTGTAGTCATCCTCATCTACGACACAAATGTAGTAGGGCGGGAACTGCAGCATCACAGTAGAAGCAGCCATCCCTTCCCCTGGAGGTGCAGAATGAGCAGTAGACAGAGAAGTGTCCTGTAGATGGAGGTCTTGAAGCTGAGCAGTCCAGTCTACATCTTTGGCACTGTTAGAATCATTTCCAAAACCCAAGGTAAGGTGTGGTGGAGGTACCTCCTCACTGTCACTTCCCCAGTCGTCTGCACCTTCACACCAATTCTCAGCGGCATGATCATTTTCCCAATTCTGGAAAAATATCCAATACATAAGGTCTAAGCATATTTTAGTGATATCATCTATTCCTTTGGCTTTATGCCAGCCCCTTCCCCGCTGGCACACTCAGTTCAACTTTCCGGACTCCTATCTACTCAAAAGCATGTCACAGGTAATTTGAATCTTTTGTCTTTTCAGGGACAGCATAGCAGATTCAACACATGGTTTCTTCAACCATGCAATTTAAAATCTTTCTTTTGTGTTTCATGTATTGCACAGATTGAGGGGTTTTTTGTTTTGCTTTGTTTTTGAGACAAGGGTCTTGCTATGCAGTTCAAGCTGGCCTTGAACTCACTTTGTAACCCAAGCTGGTCTGGAACTCGCAACAATCCTCCTGCCTCAGCCTCCTAAGTGCTGGGATTACAGGTGTGCTCACACCCACACACAGCTATCACACAGATGGAGAGAAGAATATCCCAGACTTTTTGACAACTAGGGTTTCAGATATGATCAGAGGATTGCTAACCAAGTCCTCCAATGAGTAACAATCTTGAGACAGCAAAGTAGAAAGAAATACCAAGATGCCAAATTAAGGCCTTAGATCAAGGCTTAAGAATCAACAGTTCTGCCAACAAGGGCAACTTCCAGTTTATAAGACTACACTTAAGAAGGGGCTGGGGGTTTAGCTCAGCGGCATAACCACCTGCCTTGCAAGCAGGCGGTCATGAGTTCAATCTCCAGTACCGATAAAAAGAAAAAAGAAAAAAAAAGTGTAAAAAAAAAAAAAAAAAAAGACTACACTTAAGCTTCCTGCCTGCACAAAATATTGCCTGATAGATAGGTTGGTTCTGATGTGTTGCTCTGGAGGTCATTTCTGGAATAGCCTCCTTCAGCCTATTTAAGCAGTTAATGAATATTTAAGTGCTTGTGTTATATTTCTCAGATGAAGAGTTACAAGTGTTCCCCTACTAGTAATTGAACCCTGAATCCTTGTTATTCCTTGTATTGCTAACATTATGCCTAGCACATATACTCAGTGCTTAGGTAAAGACCTTAACAGCCCTAATTAGGGGGGCTGAATTTTGTTTTGTAGTTACCAACCTCCCTGACTTTTCAATTCAATAAACTTGAATTTTGTCTTATTAAATACCTTTGTCATAAAGGTACATATGAGCCAAGGATGGTGGCATGTTCCTGTAATACCTATACTTGGGAGGCTGAGGCAGGATTGCCCCGAGTTCAAGGTCAGCTTGGGGCACATAGTGAGTTCAAAGCTAGCCTAAGCTACACAGTAAGTCCTTGTCTCAAAAAGTGCATATGTTCATATCACATTAACTGTACAAACTATAATAAACACATATATGAACTACACACAACCATACACATGTACACACCTGTGCATTTTCCCAGGAGGAAAAAAAAAACACAGTAAATTATGTGACCCAAGACCTTCAGTATTCCAAAAAATACATATAAAGGACCAAGGATATAGCTCAGCCGCATAGCACCTGCCTGACAAGCTCGAGGTTGTGAGTTCGATTTCAGGTACAAAAAAAAAAATCTTCCAATATAGGGGCTGGGGATACAGCTCAGCAGCACAGCACCTGCCTGGCAAACACAAGGTACTGAGTCTCCCCCGCAACAAAAAGACCTTCGGTGTAAATTGTAAGCTCCTAAAACTTTTCATGGTTTCAAAGAGAAACACCCATTTCTACTATACTGCAAAAACCATGGTTTACAGCCAGGTGGCCCATGCCTGTGATCTCAGCACTCTGAAGGTTAAGGTACAAGGATGTTGGGGAGTTCGAGGGCAGTCCTAGATACATAGTGAATTCAAGGGCAGCCTGAACTGCATACAGCGAGACTCTGTCTCAAAAAGTCAAACAAACAAAAACCCACAGCTTAAAAGTTTGTCTTAACAACCAACTTAAGGCAGATGTCTTGTGCTCTGGGTGAATGATGTGGGGATGACAATGCGCAACGTATGTACCCCCTGACTGATGTACTTTACAACTTTGTTGTAGTTTTTTTTACCTATGAACAAAATGGATTTTTTAAAAGTTTGTCTTAAATGACATTCTGGAAAATACCCTCTACTCTTTTGCAAAACGTAACATCAAACCACTTTACCTGGGCGTCCTGTGTCTGTTTCTCTCGCACCTCCAGACACTGGGAGCGAAACACCTTCCAGCTTCAGAGCAAAAACACGCCCGTGAGTGCTTCACGCTGCAAGTCCCAGCCCCACGCGCCTCCCCAGCACCGCTCGCAGTGACATCCGGGCGGCTCCTACCTGCGAGCCTTCGCTGCCTACCTGCGAGCCCCGTGGTCGCCGCACGTAGGGCGGGCGCAAGCGAACACGTGCAGCTGCCGATGAAATGGGGAGCCTTCTAGGGGACAGTACACCTGCACGACGAGGGCGAGCGGCTGCCTGCAACGCGCACACTCCGGCCTTGGAGCTGCCAAGTCCGGCAGGACGTCCTGAGGAGGGGTGTGAGACGACTGCTTTCGGACCCGGACTCTACCCCAGGAGCCTGCCCACTTGCTCACTGTGTACCCTTCCCCAGCACCCGCCGAACCCTGGCTCCAGCGCCTATTCTCACCGGAATGCCGCCCAACTTGCTAACCGTCCAGGAACCCGGCCCTGTGGGGCTGCCGTGTACTGCCGAATCTCGAAGCCCTAACAACACTGGTTTTCGAAAGGCCGCCATGACAACAGGGTGCGCAAATGAAAAGAAACACTACGGCAACCAAGAGGGTGCACTTCTCTGCGCACGCGCGCTGTCACGTCACGAGAGAGGCTCCGCCCCTGATTAGGGTCCGCTAGGGTTTACTGTAAAGCGCTTGCGCTTGTTTCGACTATGAAAACAGCTGATGTCACGGCGTTGAGACCCTAGATTCGTCAGGAATTATGTGCCTTTTAATGTCTTGCAAAAGAAAACACACGCCATCTCCTATGAAATTAGCCTTGCCAAAAGATAAAAGTTTTAGGCAAGATAATGGTATAACAAAAGGAAAACAAAATTTGAGAGGTAAACCAGGCATGGAGGTGCACGCCGGTAATCCCAGCACTCAGGAAGCTGAGTAGAGTTACTATGAGTGAGGCTGGCCTGGGCTACCTAGTGAGTTCAAGGCCATCCTGGACCACATAGGGAGACGCTGTCTCAAAACAAAACAAAGTCGAGAGATACACACCGAAATTCATATAGGCAAAGTATATATATCTGGCTCTACTATAACAAAAAGAGGTGTTGTCAATGTAATAAAATTTGCCCTGAGTTGGTAATTGTTAACATTTAGTACCAGACATAAAAGGAAGTTTATTATACTATTGAACTTTTATATGTTGGGAATTTTCCATAATAAAGCCTTTCAAATGCCTGTGGGTCAGCATGAATCAATTTGAAAAGCATTATGTCTAAGAAGCCAGATACAAAAGGCTTTGTTGTGGGAAATGCAAAATTTAAGTATGAGAAAACATTAATAGTTCCCAAGATTTTAAGTGTCAGGATTGATCACACAGGAGTGCCATGAACTTTTGAGGTGACAAAAATGCTAAATATCTCAGTTGTGGTCACTGACTGTAAACTACATTTGTCAAAACTCAGAATTGTTTACCAAAGAAAGGTTAAGTTTTCCTACATGTAAATTATACATTAATAAACCTGACATTTAAAGAATTTAAGTTGTGACTGGGTGCACCAGCATATGCCTGTAATCTCAGTACCCTAGGAGACTGAGGCAGGGGAACTGCATGCTCAAACTCTGTCTGGGCAACTTGAGACCCTGCCTCAAAAGAAAAAAATAAAAAAGGGTGGGGATGTAGCTCAAGGCAAAGGCCCTTGGTTCAATCAATCTTCAATATCACAAATAAATAAATTTAAAAACATAAATTGCAAAAGCAGTATTTCAAGATTCATATCATGGCATATACATGAAATGTATTGTCAAAGATTTACATCTCAAAGGGAGAAACACCAGCCTTGTGATGGTTGGTTCCAGCCCTGCCAGAACCTGAAGATGAAACCAGCCATTTGACAGCCTCAAAAGGCTCTACAAAGTCAGACATTGATGTTCATTTCTAGCCAAAGAGGTTGGACAAATTAGCAAATACATGTTATTTTAGCTAAGATTTCCCAAGATATGTATACATATATATGTATATACACATATATGTATGCACAGATCTCCTGTGATTATATATATATGTATGTATAATAAAACAACAACAACAAAAAAGAAGGTGGATTGGGTGGGGATGTAGTTCTGTGGTATCTCTTGCTTAACTTGCAAGAAAGAAGCCATGGGGTCCACCACGAACATCTAAAAAATAAAGGAAATGGGCCAATGGGGCACTCAACAAAGCTTGATGGTCAAAGAATGTCTGTTACCTCTACAAAGATCTAGCAGAAAGGGCATTCACTCTTGGAACCAAAATATATTAAAAATAAATAATGAAAAATCCAAAGGAAATCTTCAAAACAAAAATCATGTCACTCTATCTCACTTCTGGGCATTTTTCCAGAAGAATTGAAAACATCATATATCACAGTGATATATGTGCACCCATGTCTATAGCAGTAAAATTTGTAGTAGCCAAATCTTGGAAGCAACCTAAGTTCCCATCAATCGAGGAATGGATAAAAACGATGTGGTATTTTTATACAATGGAATATTACTCAGCTATTAAGAAAGATTGCATTAAGGCTTTTATAAGTAAATGGACACAACTTGAGACCATACTCATAAGTGAAATAAACCAAACTCATGTGTAAATACCATATTGTCTCCTTAGTGTAAGAAACTGAAAGAGCAAATATGATCCAAAATCTTCAATAAATATTGTATAAGGGTTAGAAACTGCTCAGAAAGGAAAAGTAACGGGATAGGGGAAAGGAGGAAAGAAGGAAGGGAAAAGAAAAAGACATAAATTTGTACACATAAATGTAAGATAGCTAAGATGACTATACTACTAACTGTATTATTTCTTGTAAGAGAACAGTTAATACTCATGATTAGATCAATTTTACATGTCTATATCTGATAATCTAAGGAACCCTTTTGAAAGTAACAATGTGCAGTATTACAACCATTTAAATTCTTACCATCCTTTTGAAAACCTATACTCTTATTGTTTTAGGTTTGTTGTTGTTTATCTCTCTTGCTTTTTGTTTTTCTTTTCTTCATCTTTTCTCTTAAATAAAAAAATCATTTCACCAACAGAAAATACCAATATCTGAGTATTTTTTAGTGAACATTCATGTATGTGCGGTCACCTTCTATAAGTAGGGTATCCCTTACTCTGAGTCCTGTAAGTGTTCACTGTCCCTCCTAAGGGCAGAAAATACCAATCCTGGCTATCCCTGTTGCTTTTTTTTTTTAAATTTAAAGAAAAAAAAAACAGAAAAAGGGTAGAAATAATACATAATTTCAAAAAAGTAGGAAATCACTAGCTGATAAATTACATATTGGCCTCTTAGAAATAGTTGTTCAAGTTACAAAAGTAAAGCATACAAAGTGGATATTTAAACGGCGAGACTGCAAACAGTTCTGTTCAACTATCGAACAAAAACTTAGCAATATGGTTATCAATCCTACACACTTAAACATATATGTCCCTGTTTTGAGAAAGGCATATAACCAAGCTAGAATGCAATTCAGACATGGTGGGCCAGGAGCAGATGGGGCAAAGGCAGTTCTGCTAGGTGTCAAGAGCAGCCACTTTCTCACCCAGACCATTCTGGATCATGATCTCAGTGTGAGCCCACCCTCTAATCTGTCCATCAGTGCTGCCTATTGACTTTGTATTAGGCGGTACTCAGGACTGAACTACTGAGTACCTCATGAGTACCAGGGAAGTGTTCTACTGAGCTCCATCTTTTCTTTTGTTTGGGGAGAAGGACAGTGTCTTATTACAATGTTCAGGCTGGCCTCAAACTTTCAATCCTTTCTAAGTAGATGAGAGTATAGGCATGTGCCACAGTATCCACTCTGTCCTTTGACCTAAATGAAACTCCTGGGGCATCCACTCAAGACATCCTCTGTTCCTCTTAAACAGCTTTCTTGCCCCTAATAAATACTTCCTACTCTTAATCTCCATTGTTCTTAGAATTCATACTTTGAGTTTAGAGAACATGAACTCAGTATGTTGAATATCTAGCAGGTTGAGAGTTATATTTCCCTTACATTATTTGGATTATTGGGAGGTCCTATGTCATAATCCTATATCATTTGGAGGTCTCCTACCAAAATAATTGAATAAAGGTAAGAGTTTGCTTTTTTATATAGATTCTAGATTGCAACTCACTTAGGTAATTGAAATTGTCATCCTTATTTGTCAATTGCGTATTCTTTGAATTTTATGTTTTTGTCAATAGACTATGCCTTGAATTTTATGCGTTGTCAATTGCATAGGCCTTGGCTGTTTCATGTTGAACCTTCTACTGAAAACTTGTGAAATGCAGACTTTTTCTTGGGTATTTAAACAGCTTAGACTTTATATGTCCCTTACAGAACCCAAGCAAACAGAAGTTTGGAGATAGATCTCTGGCTATATGGAACTAGTGGAAGCTGAATGGGCAACTGAGGGGTCACGGCTAGAGTGACTCTGTCAGTACCCAAAGTGGAAGCTAGGTCCTGACAGCTAAACTAGGTAACCAGCAGCAGAAAAATCTCCATTTACCTGTCGTACTTTTCTCCTTGTTATTAAGTTAGAAAGTACCCTAAATTTTTCTCCAACTTGTTGGGAATTAACTTTAGAACCTCCTTAAAGTTAAATTAATTTTGGTATAATTTTGTTCAGGTGCAGTGGCATGCACTTGTAATCCCAGCACTTGAGGGGCTGAGACAGGAGGATCACTGTGAGTTTGAGGACAGCCTGGGTTACACAGTGAGTTCAAGGATAGCCTGAATTACATTGTAAAACTCTGTCCCAAAAAGATGAAAAAAGGGACTGGGGATTTAGCTCAGTGGCATAAGTGCCTGCCTTGCAAGCCCACAGTCCTGAGTTTGATCCCTGATACTAAAAATAAAAAAAGACAAAAAAAATTGATATTGTTTTACAACAAGAATTGTACTGTAAGAAAGAGGAAAAAATGACCAAAATTACCTTATGTCCAGACTTTCTTTATGTTAAGAAAAAATTCTTTTTTTTTTTTTTTTGTACCAAGAATCAAACTCGGGACTGTGTCACACTTGTCAGGAAGTACTATGCCACTGTGCTATATCCCTGGCCCTAGAAATAATTCTTATTTGTACTCAAAACATAATTATAAGTGATATGACATTCATATGTCCTTTCTTCTCAATGACTTAAGACAGATCAAACAAGATCTCAGAAAATTTTCAGATGATCTAATAAGTGCACTAAAGTCTTTTAGAGCATTTAATCAGACCTAAAACTAGATTGGGGAGACATAGTGTTACTCTTAAATCAAGCATTAATGCCCACTGAGAAACAACCAGCATTACAAGCTGCTATTGCCTTTGGGGATTAATATTTATCCTAATTTTTAAGAGTCAAAAGACAGGGGCTAGGGATTTAGCTCAGTAGTATAAGCACCTGCCTTGCAAGCAGGCTGTCGTGAGTTCGATGCCCGGTACCGGTTAAAAAAAAAAAAAAAAAAGACTGATAAGAGTCAAAAGACAGCCAGGAAAACACACAATGCCTACTGGCCAACTATTACCTACATGAGACCCCTCCTGGTGTACCAATCAGATAGGGGATTGGAATAGGAAAATTTTCAGGGTTTTTTTTATACCAG